TTTTGAAGCCTATAATGTTCGTACCCTACCTACTTACATATATTATAAATATGAGCATATCTTCGGTTCACAGCTCTTGTCCGGACCGACCGGCTCCTTGTGACTGGGAAGCGTACCGGAGCACCAAGCCCAATCCCCAGGTGCTGTACGGTGCACTGGTCAGTGGACCCGACGAGAACGACAACTACAAGGACTTGCGGGAAGAGTACATCTACAATGAGGTGACGTTGGACTACAACGCGGGATTCCAGTCAGCCGTCGCCGGGCTCAAGCACCTGGAATTGCAGGCCAGTCGGCACAAGGCCATACTGAACGCCAACGGTCTGCTGTCCAACGCGACGGACGCGTAATCGACTCCGGATCGTCAACCACGTTGGAATAATCCGCATCACCGCATTTCACTTTTGTTTCATAAAATTAAAATTAAAAAGAATRTACGTGTTTTTTTTGAACCGGAGACGACGACGAGCCCGCCGATCCCGATCGAAAGACATCAACGCTACCGTGCGATTGCCACCCTTGCTGCAATTATCGCGAAGATATCCGAAATATTGTTATTACGCACCTACCAATAATTATTATTTAGGCCAAGTCACAGACAATATGCGCATAGGTACGATACAGGGGGAGAGCGAAAACGGATTTTGATTTGTGTGTGTGTGTTATAGGTGGCGCGGGAGGGGGGGGTTGTCAATGTCCGTTTGATATCGATTATCGTCATGTCACAGTTTCAACAAAAACAATATAATATTAAAACATCTCATAAATTAGGGATGGGTTGAATTTAAAATATTTCAAGCTAACCTAACTCTAATTCGAACTTTGTTTTTATCACRTAGTGTTAGAGATYAAACTGGAACTTTTTGAACATTCTACAMTTTTAAACTTTAATCAGATGACAACATGATTTTAGAACAAATTGGAGAAACTGACAAATAGCATACGGAAAATAAGAATTRTATAGTATTCTGCTGTAATAATATTTATTATAATAGGTGTATCGATATAGCACTTGATTTTTTTCAAACTGTTTGAAATGTTTTYTGAAGTAAATATTGTTTAATTTCTAGTATCAATAATTTCTAACGAAATACGAACAGCACGAATCACCCAAAGTTTAACTGGGAGTTCGAAAGTTTGATATGCACTTTCGACCAGTGACGAAACGAACCTAAAATAACMCATAAGCAAACATACAATTTATATACCCACCCACTCATCCATTAGTGCTATTACCCATAGTACCTATAACTGAATATATCTATAAATTATAATAAATACTAATACTAATAGGTACTTAGTTATGGTTATTCACTTTCATATTTTCACCCACGACCCATGGCACCCACCCACCCCCAAATCTTAAAAAAAATCGAGAAGCAATCGCTTCTCAAAGACCACGGTCGTTTTTCGCCACTGCTTTCGACCCATCCCTAACCATCATAATATTATTATTGTTTTCGTAGACGACGACGACGACGGTATCGGTCGTGTACACTGTACAGTCAACAACTCGATTTCATCGAAGGTATAATGGTTTGTGGGTTTATACTTTTATATGTCTATGGTTGTGCATCGTAAAAATAAGTACTGTATACTAAAATCATGACATCGGTCTATAGTAATATGGAACGCATCGCCAACGTCAAAGTTTCTTAAATTTAGTATTCTTGCGATAGGTATCGATGACTTGATAATTACGCGGGTGCTGGTG